TTTTAGGGGTAAAAAGTTAACAGTGATGTTACATTTCATTTTTATTTCAATCAAAATATTTTCTCTCTCCCTTCATTTTTGTTCTACTGTTTGTCTCTCTTCCGTGAAAAGCGAATTTCATTCTCTGAGATACGTCTTTGTACCCGTTTGCAACTTTTATGCTTGAAGAAAACGTGTCAGTTCTAGGTGCATATTATAAACACTCATTAGTATGCATATTCTTAATACTGTTCTCCATACATCTCCTAAGGGGGCTGACAAAGAGACTTTGTTGAACAATCAAGAGCTTCTTTCGTCGGTGATAACTAATGCCTGATTCAGGGGTGACATTGTAAAGAGAAATCAGATGCTAGTCACTCTTAGGGGTTAAGAGACTGATGCACCTAATTAGAGAAATATTTTCAATTCAAAACCTCTCACTTTGACTCCCTGGACGACGCGCAATGAAGTACTTCTAAACAACTGCCAAGCTCATGTAGAACCTTTAGAATCACTGTGGTATATAATTGTGTCAGATGGAGCCTTTGCAATTTTCAAAAATGTATGGTAACGAGTAAAAAACTGACTCATGTACCCAAAAAATATATCATATTCATACTTTGGATCACTGTCAAACAACTTGGACAAGAGTGCGAACGTGGTAAAAAATCGTGGATATTCAAGTAATTAGTTTATATAATCAAGAACTAGTGAAAAACGTATACATACGGGGGAACCTGAGCTCCTGATTCTGTGCTTGGATACAATGTCTCGACTTTTCACAGTCTCTGTGCCCAATCCCAGCGTGATTTCTTAATTATGACGTTTTTAGGTTTTAGTTCCCAGTGCTAACTGTACTCCTGAGCCAAGATTTCACGTTCTACCCTTTCAGGGAACTTCGTGGACATTCACATCAAAAGCGGGGGCTGTGAAGACCCCAAACGAACTAAAAACACATGTGGTTTCGCTTACATCGAGGTGAATGGAATGGACCTCTCTCCTCGCGGCAGGGGATGCAACGTTGTAGTTGTTGATGGCAGAACAGGTAAGAAGGAAAGTGCCAAGTCATTTTCCTGATGGCTGGTCTTCAGTAATCTCACCCAGTTCGGCAGAGATAGTATTAAATGACCCATTGTTTCCCCGATATCTTTTTCTCCAGTAAAACAGTAAGTAAACGGCAAAATGGTGTAACCGCCTTTTTAAAATTCTTCTTGTACTCCGCTAATTGTTCGAGAAGACATCAAGGAAATTGTTTTTATTCTCATGCAGGAGGAGTTCTCGAAAGGAAAACATTTGATACACATTGGAGCCCCTCTGCTGGTGATCATCTTAAAGAATATCTCGACAGCCTCAACGGAAAGTATGTCAAGGGTAGATGGGTATAGGATACAGCATGTATTGAATTGTATATTATAATTTAAAGAGACTGAATGGTTATATATTGTAACCTCTATGCTCCCTTGTAAAGGTCAGTGTTCAGAGTTCTAGCGGCATTCACCCACCTCATTTACGTGTGTATACAGGCGAAAACTGTCGAAAGCCCCCCTCCCCCTTTCAAAAAAAAAAAAAACCGCGCACCAGACAATGAAAGGAGAAAGGGAGAATTACACATAACACTACTCCTAGCCCTGATATTCTTGATAGTTGGACATTTCGTTCATTATTCCTAACGAATATCCCTTTCGTCCTTGCAGTAAGATCGTTTTGGTGGCTTTTCAAGATGAAGGTTCAACTTACGTAAGAAAAGCGCTTATGCCTCTCAAGAGACTGGGCGCTACCGAGCCTGTATTACCGGACTATAAAGGATCCTTTGCGCTAGTTGGATACGCAGGAGAAAACAAACCATCGTGGGTTGAAGAAAAAATTGCCAAGAGAGGTCTGGGACCAAGTGAGATATCTCTGAAGATTCAGTTAACCAACCCAGTACCCCAGCCCCATCCAGCTATCACCTTTTTTCCTGATTATGGTATTGGTTTGTTTTTCTCTATTTGTTGCGTTTTTGGTTTTTTTTATTGTTTTGTGCAATGGGCAAAGAGTTAGAGTTACCTGTGTGACAACATGAAAATAGCAAAAGGAGGAGGCAATCACGGGTAGTCACAACGAGATAACATGAAAAGATATCTTTCAAAGTTAACCATGATGCATCTTAAAATGAAACAAATTGCAACAATTTAATTTAGTAAATACACCATTAGCTGATAAAATACTTTCATAAGAGCGTACAAAAAAGCGGTGGGGAGGATAAACTGATAACGGTGAGTCCGTTCAAACATTAACACCTAGAGCGCTGGACGAATATACACAACAATGATAAAGCCTCTTTTACAAATGATTAACGCCAAAACACGTTTGCTTGGTCAGAGACACGCCAGTGTCAAATTAGAAACCTGGAATAACGAAGTTACAGAGACTAATCTAACGCAGTTGATAATATTTTGAAGAAAAAGGCTTGTTTATTTGTGTTTGATTACCTTTAAGGCAATGTCGGTTGTCCCCTTAAGAATTAATTCAATTTTTTAGCACACGATTTTAATACGAGGAATAATGGGGTCATCGTTGTTCTCCCGTAAGTGAAACTTCACTATTCTCTCAAAAGTTTTAATTTTTTGAGCACTTTATCATTCAATTCTAGTTGGTGACCATTTCCTTTATTCTCAACCTTCAACTGATAGAAGATTAGATGCTAGCAGGGTTGAAACCCAAACAGATTAGCAGCGGGATATTATTTAGGAAGTCTCTTGGTTAATTTTACATTGTATGGCGTAGTTTTTGTAAGTTAGCGTTAGCCAAGGTCATATTTTATCTTATTTTTCGTTTTTATTCTATTCACATTTGTATCATTTATACAGGTTTCCTTTGATAACAGTAACAGGGGCTATCCTGTATAAATATTAGTTATTAGTATTATCATAAACTCCGTTATAATGAGGTACAAAACCCATTATATCCTTGTTATGATGTTTCTATGTGTGATTTGGGGGTGATATTGTGAGGAGAAATTAGATACTAGTCTCTCTTAGGGGTTTAAAAGTTACAAACCAAGCAGATTAGCAGCAGGGTATTATTTGGGAAGTCTCTTAATTAATTTTACATTGTATAGCGTAGTTTCTGTAGGTTAGCGTTAGCCAAGGTCATATTTTATCTTATTTTCGTTTTTATTCTATTTACATTTTTATCATTTAAACAGGTTCCATTTGATAACAGTACTTATGTAATGAGGGGCTATCCTGTATAAATATTCGTTATTACTATTATCATAAACTCCGTTATAATAAAGTAAAATGTATTAAAAACCCGTCATATCCTTGTAATGATGTTTTTATATACCGTAGTATCAATATTGTTAATATACAGCAAAACTGTGCATTGCATCCCTTCTGTTTAAGTCTTTTTCGAGACGGATTAGCCGAGCCACCCACATGGCAAATGTGTACATGCACTGCTTGCAAAAATGTAATTGATTCATCAAAAAGTCGCACCCTCTAGAACATACCTTGGGGCTTACAATTAACCCTTACATCAGTATGCATATTCTCCATACTGTTCTCTATACATTTTACATTTAGTTGGTGATCATTTCCTATATTCCCGTGACCTCAATGTGTGATTTACCAGTGGTAGTGTGAGGAGAAATAAGATGCTGGTCACTTGTTGGAATAAAATGTGACAAGAGCTGGGCGGGGAATGTGAGTCAATAAGTACCAAATAACCGCACTGAAGCCAAAAAACAAAACAAAACAAAACAAACGAACAAACAAAACAAAACAAAAGAAGTCAGTTAATGCAACAAGCAACCACGTAAAAGAGTGATGGAATGGCCGAGCCATAATCACATTATATCAAATAATTTTATTCATGACGTGTTTCAGAGACAAAACAGAGTCGAGTTGCAGAGATACGATTGAGCCAGGTCTTTTCAGTTCTGGTGGCTCGATGGTTGACGATTAAAAACGATACTAGGAAATAGCCAGACCTGTCAAGTAAGGTTGGAACCACAAACATGTGTTAGTAGGCAAAGGCTAACATCACAATCACTTTGAAGACAAAGTCAAATTTGTTAACTTCATGTAGAGATCAATTTGGTCGCAAATTGAAAACTTTATCCCAAAAATTTGATTTACCAACGTCAACATATCAAACGGTTATCTCAAAGTGTTATTTGGTGTTGCTTAAGAAATGATTTAAGAGAAATACAAAAACACTACATTACCTCTTCAGAAAACGTTCTGAAGGATACCACTTGTAAGCCCACGATGTGTGATTCATCTCTTGCAGACTGGCACACCTTGCATACCTGAGGGATGTAGCAGATCTCGCTTTCTGGCACGAAAACAGAATTCACACCTACAATCACATTAGTTGAAAACTTGTCAGAAAACTTATTAATTTTACACGAAATAAGTATCTCAATCTATCACACGGCAAGGTGTTCCTGAGGTAAATCCTAGCGTTCTGATTGGTTCTTACTTAGTTGTTATTTTGCCATACGGACCGTTGCCACGGAAACGGTCGTGAGCCGTGTACTTCTGTTAGCGAATGCCAGCAAATTCAAAATTAGCAAGTTTGGTCCAAGTGCCATATAAAAAATTACTAGCTAGCCTTGCTTGCTCGAGCCGTACTGGGGAGTATAAGGTCCTCGGTCGTTTTCGTACGGACCTCGCTAAGCTCGGTCCGCACTACCACGACTTTAAGCCAATATTACCCCCACACTCCGTTATTAAGACGTGAATACCGAACAACAACTAGCTAATTAACAATGATATACCGCGGTGCTGCTCAATTCGTTTGTATTTCTATTGTATTTAGTAGTTTTCTCCCCGAAATATTAATTTTTTTCCATTCTTTGTACATTTTTAACTCAGCGGTTCGTTAATTGCCCTTTCTGTTGTTGGTGCGCCAGAAGGGACCGCACAGGCTGCGTTTGAAGTGAGAAGTGGAGGGAATATTCTTGCCCATCAACCTCCACCAATCCATAAACCACACTGGGCCGGCTATATACACGAGGTCTAAGCCAAACCGCGGTTTTACGCAAGCAGTGGGCCTTACGTACTCTCTATAAGACGGTTGTTTTATTAAATAAATGTCCTTCCACTGTTAAATTTCGGCCCTCTTGACACTGTTCATAAAAATAAATGCTCAGAAAAAAAGATTCAGCTAAATTTAGGATTGTTTAGAGCGCGGTTTTGTATAACGGCTAAACTTTGTTTAAATAACCGTCCCACTGTGTTTCGCCCACGTTATGAAGATAAACAGAAACAAAACAAAACGAAGACAAATCAGAGATCGAAATCAGAAACAAATAACATCAAGGACTAACAGTCTCTACACTTTTGCTGTTTCACACTTAAATGCTTTTTCCTGACGGGATTCAAGGTTACGATTTAACAATCCCACCGAAATAATTTTACTAAAATAAGTGAAATTATTGTTTACTACCTGAAAAGTCATCGTTTTTTGCATCTGCAACCGGGTAACCCAGGTTTAAAATTTCGCAAGCCCCCTTGTCGATAACATTGATACTTTTGTCATCAATTGTTTCCAACATCCTAAAAGAGCTCCGCAGTAATTCCGGAATCTTTTGTGGGAAGGGTCTAACAACGACGCGACCTACAGGGACGAGACGACAATATCAGCGAACTAGAATTAATTACAGTTCCGAATTAAAGGTTAACTCTGTTAACGAGCCTAATGGCCCACTGTTGCAGCTTATTCCAGGTTTCCTACCATGAAAACTAACAGTGTTGCTATTTTCCCAGGAGGAGATGAAAATCCAACAAAAGGCATCATCCGGCATTTCGTCAGACTTCCCTAACAACCCACTTGTACCCATTTATACTCATTTGTCCCATTCATACCCTGGGTGAAGAGAGGAGCTAAAGGGATTTTAAGTGCATTTAACCGTTTAAAGTGACTAGCGTCTGATTTCCTATTAACAATATCACCCCATTAAGGTCATTATAATAAAAAGAAATGATCAACAACTAAAGAACCTCTTGATTGTTTAACAAATTCTCCATGTCAGTATCAAAAGAAATACATCGAAAGAGTATGAAGAATATGCCTAGTGATGTTAGGTAGTTAAGGTTTAATTGTGAACATTTTAACCTGGTTATCATGAAAAGGTATCCGTGCCTCCTATACCAAAGATATGGCTTATTTATATTATAGAAATGCCTGGAAACCTGCTTGGGTTGTGCAACAGCTCTACTAACTCACCTGCAACAAGGTTGCTTCCACATCGGCCACAACTCAGTATTGGATTGCCACCTTTAACCTCTGGTTTTTCCTAAAATCAAATAATGAAATCAAAGTGATGTGAAAAAAGTGATTTTCCGCAAACAACATAATGGAATCGACCGTAGTGGTTCCAAGTCTATATTGTACTCCAGATGAAGATGAAAATGTAACCATACTACTATTAAATCAAAACGAAAGTTGACTTCGTAATTTAGTGAGACTAATACGGCTTTTTAAATACTGACCGCAAGACATAATGCTACAAACAACAAGGCACCACCAACGTGAAATTTCACACTAGGAAAAAATGAGCGTCGTTTGAGGCAGGTGCTAATCAACATGATTCCCGTCTTTACTAAAGTGAAAAACAAAAAAGTGACAGTGATACCTCGCATACTTCTTTCTGTTCCTTCTCAGTGCACCCGGTGCCATTTGAAGATCGTCTGAGCCTCGAACTCTTTCTCCGTCCCTGTCGAACGTTGCTCGGCATCTCAGATTTACAATTTTTCCCATCGAAACATTTCTTCGCACCCACATTTGAGTCTACATAACGGTTTGCCAACTCAGACTTATCCAAGGGAAAATCAGTTTCAACCTCGTCTAAGAAGTCACCTGGCTTACTCTCTTCTTTTACCTCGCAGGGAATTTCCTTAACAGCGAAGCCTTGGCCTCCCGATTCTTCGAAATCACTGATATCTTTTGACACCTGGATTGAACTTTTGCTAAGATCACTGTATCCATTTTCTACAGTTTTAGCATGACTTGATGTGTTACAGAAGGAATTCATGTTCGAAGAGTTTACATCTGTCCTCACTTCTCTTTCAACTGGTTTATACGTGTCAAATTCCTGCTTAACTGGTGAAGGCGAAGGACTGGACTGGGGCGTAGCAAACAGAACAGGAGAGTAAGACAGCTGTTCATTTGAGTGGTTTTCGCTGGCATGATTAAAGTCAACTTTCCCAACCGACACCTGGTTGACAAATTTCTTGTCCTCATTTACCTCATTGCGCTTATTTGATAAAACATTTCCGCCATTTCTTGGTGTAAAATCAGAAATCGATTCCATCCCTTTGAAAACGTGCTTCTCGCTCTTGTCTTGACCAACACTTTTCCGCTTGAATTGCGCAAGTTTTGAGGCAGCCCTCTCAACACTAAGAGATACGCCATGGGGAGTGGCTTCAGAGATTGCCGAAGGGGTCAAATGAGACGCAGGCATAAACCCAGAGATTTTATTTCCTTGATAATTGGCAGGCGATGTTTGCTCGGCAAATGGTTTAGTACCAGTGTGTTGAACCGGAGTTCTGCTGGGATCAAGCTGTGGAGACAGTCTGTCGTCCTCAAGTGGTTTAGTGCGAAAGTGAACGCCTTGCTCTTTAGCTGGAGTCT